TAATGTTTTCCCATTTCAGACTACGGTCTCTTGGGGAAGGCCTCCTCTTATAACAAAAAATGGCAAACGATCTAGCAAGTTTGCAGACCTTTGGTATAGTGGTGTAGACCCTGACCCAGTTGCACGAATAGTCCTGATCGGTTTAGTAACGCTCAACATAGGACAGGAAATCTGAAGAACTTTGGTTCTTAACTTATGTTTTAAGTCCCCGCTGGTCAATGAATTTTGATACATAGTGGAATGATCATGAAACTGATACTGCTATACTAAGTTCCTAAGCCCTTTACAAGTTGATGAGAATCAATCATAACTCGTCACTTAGCTTGCGCAAGTAAAAATTTGAATGTTCTTTTTAAGCGGGCCAACTGTGTTCCAGGACTCCAAACCAATCAAAAAACGCATATCCAACTATCCAATCAAAATGCTTAAAATACACATTAAGCCATCTGAGACTTGCAGTTTATAAATAGCTGCTGTCTGTTATTTTCTGTAGAACCTCTGAAATTCCACTTCAAGATTCGTATGCCATGTGTCATAAGCAAGGTAAGTAATAACTGAAATTACTTATTTTCCTACCTTGAAATTCTTCGAAAACTTATATTTTAACAAACTTAAGATTTCAAAGTTCTAAATCTGTTACAAGAAGAGATAACTAGCTAAAAACTAGTGTGAGCTGCGTCGGTGTTTCTAATGAAACAGTAATGATAAAAGGGTAAATCATACACCGTGAAAAGATGAAAAAAACTTACCGACGTTTTCTGACGCTAGTCCTTCGTCGGAGTACTCCGAGACGTCAGTAAGTTTTTCATCTTTTCACGGTGTATGATTTACCCTTTTATAATCACTAAATCTGTTACAACGTATAGTATCGAACATGCGACAATCTCATGCGCCTGTCATGGACTCGTTTCGTTAATTTGCGTGCCTTAAATCTGTACACAAAAACAAATTCTTTTTTCTATGATTGTTTTATTGATTGCAGGGCTACTACGAGCTGACGGGGTACTGTATGAATCAAAATGGCAATATGGTTGGTTGTTTGAAATGGCAGTTCCTATGGGAATGACGTAAAAAAATTTTATGATGTCATTACGGCGCTATAAAACTGGATAAGAAGCTGAATGGCTGTCTGTTCGGCAAACCTGCAACAGTAAACTAAAGCAAATAAAAAAGGCGTATTGACAGAGGGTCAGGGTCAGTTGATAACAGGATTGCCTCGTGCTACCCTGGGCGAGCTGAAACATGTATCCAACAACCCAGCTTAATTTAGGATATTCTACTAGATTAGAGTGTAAAGTTTCCTGTAATCTGATCATCTAAACTATCTCTTCTTAGTACATGCTTTTAATTACATTTGAAGTAAAACCTCTGAGAGTAAATAAACTCTTTATAATTATGTTGATATTTTCTTGAATCGAATTGCAGTTTTAAAACAGAATTGATATTGATGCTAATAAACAATAAATTGATGACATATACCCATGCCAGAAAAGGTACATTCAAGACTAGAGAGAGAGAGAGTTCATGCATGTCTTTATAGAATACGATGCAAATGCTGCCATTTCCTATGCTTTCTTGTCCTTGCCTAGTTCGCTGTCTTGTTCCATCGCGCGCAGACCTTTGTTCTTTATCTCTGCAGAGAACTTAGCACAGAAGACCATTTGTTTCGTCTGATCTTTCATCTCAATATCTACGACTAGTTTAATCGTTGGGTATTCAGGGCTCACAACGAGGGAAAGTACTATTTTTGTCTCCTGGGCATTCTTCACTGGGCACTTGGTAAGATTGCATAATGACCATGATTTCCAAGGCACTTTTACATCAGAGATGATCCCAAACGCTTGTATCACTGCCGATGAAAGGTCTTCCCTTGGAATAAACATTATCGTACACGTAGCATTCTCTCCCTTGTAAAAAGTACAGGGTTCAACTTTGCATGGTGATATATCGATACTTACGATCTTCCCTACTTTTGAGCCACAATCTGCGAAAGAGATGTTTTTTCCACTGACGCCGAGAAGCTGGCATGCGCCGGCCAAGAAAAAGAAAAGAGCACACAAAGACATCCCGCCTGGGCCGGCGCCTGGGTAAGTGGGATACAGTACAGTTTGTTATATTTTGGAACTCTTAAATCTGCTGTTGGTCTGGAAGATTTCCGTGCCTTTGATAGTGGCTGCTGAGACGCTACAAAAATATCAAGCATTAGCTGGGCCGCTCATAAATACGATACTCCAATCACGTGAAGGGAGAGTCTGCCATCACAGGCCGAGTGCTCGACCTTGGAACGTTCGCCAAAGAAAAAGGCCTAAGAATACGGCCCTAAGTGCGTTTGCGCAACAATTTTCATAATGAAAGAAATGAATCTTCAGTGTGAAAAAGGAATTTGGGCCCTGTTTTAATTGCACCCATAAACCATTGTTTGCTATCATTTTGTTGACTAGAGATAGATCCACCCCCCGGGGGGGAGATCCGCTAGATAGATAGATGGTTTTTTGATATCGAGTACAAAAAAAGAACCATTTGGCCCTGTTTTAGATGCGCCCATATCCATGGTTTGCCATCTTTCTTGTTTAGTAGGGGACAGATGAAAAATCCAACTTCCTCGACTTAGCTTCGCCAGGAAATAATTTGTGTCATAACAGTTAAAAGAGGAGAAAATTAATTTTTCTGTCGGAGATGTCAGTAGTGACCGATTCAAACGTGAACCGTTGCGCTACATTCAGAAGCCAAACGTCATTCTGCACTATTGTCGAGCCCTTCAGGGCAAGACAAAATAACCTCTCTGTCGCATGCAAATGATTTCTCGAAGAAGGGGCAAAGCAGCGTTGTTGGTCGATATTGACAAAGTTTGTATAGAGCAAGCTGTAGAAATGTTCCTGCAATCTAAATAAACCTATGATCTACAGATGTAGGAAGTCGAAAATGTGATTTATAGCAAAAGTTTTGTTTTGAAGTCTCCAACGACCTTTAGAAAAATAATTTTTCCCTGAGTTTATTTAAAATTTGATACTGATTTTTGGCGATGGGAATATTAAGAAATACTTTTAAAAAATTTTGATCAAAAATTCAAGGCTCAAATATTGATATTTGTTTTACCTTTCATTCCTTTTCCATCTCTTTCATTTCCATTCAAGTTCCCTTTCTTTTTGCATTCTTCTTTGCTTGCCTTCCATGGATCGTTCCCATAATTTCACTTTTATTTTCTTATCTCCATTTTAGCCCTCTCTTTTCTTCACGTGAAAAGTTTAATCGGAATATTTTTATTGCGAATTAATAACTATTTAAATACAATGAAATTTATTATGAAAACTGAGTAAGTTTACTGAGAAATCCGAGTCCCCGATAGGAATGGAACCCATGACCCGGAACGGCTAGTGACCGTAATGATAAACTATAGCTATATGATAATCACTTCATAATGGCTAGACTATCGAAGCATTTTTGGCCAAAAAATCAGTCATTTAGCATTGTCTATTAACATAAAATTCAGTGGCTTATCTTGAATAGTATTAGGTGATGCATACATACAACAAAGATTTGTTATTCAGCTTACTGGCAATATAAGCATGAAAAGTTTTCGCTACAGAATATTTTTTTAAATCTCCGTCGAGAAAGCATACTTGTAATGACCATTTTGGTAAGGTAACATCAGCCAGTAAAAATAGCGAGAGTTCATTTTTGATCCTAGTAAGTTACTTGTAGAGGTATTCTGAAACAGAAAACATAGTTTTGCAGCACTGTTTCTGCCATGTAAACTTGAGCAACAATCTTGTAGCTTCCAGGTATTTTTTCTATGCGAGCCTGTATGATCGCCGTTGCAGGCTCTTTCGGTTTCAAAGGGCAGTTAAGATTGTGGTCTTCACAAGCTAAGGGATTTTTTAGAGGCCATGGCAGTCTCTCCCCTGTAGAAAATAAAGCCACCACTTCGAGGAGCCCATCTTGGACAGTTTCTTCAGGAATGAAGGTGATTTTGGCGGTAACATTAGCTCCTACGTGGAAGACACAAGGTTCAGAGTCACATGGAGTTATGTCAAGCTGTAGGACTTTCCCTATTATCGGTCTAATGAGAGGTCCACAAGAGCCAAATTCAATTATCTTTGCTTCGGTTGAAGACACAGCTAAAACTACGGCTAAGACCACAAAGTCGCACGCACGACGCATCATCAACATTTTAAATGATATTCTATGCCGAGGGAAAGTAAAGTCGACTGAATCTTTGAAATTCTATCAGCTAAGCTTTGAAACTCTGAGCCACTGTCTAATAAGAGCGGGTTTCTGAGTATATTGAAGCTGATTATGCATTATAATAAGTTTTCAAATAAAATCAATGATTACGTGTTGGTGATAAATTTAGAACATCGTAATGGTCACGAGATCAAAAGTGAATCACATAAGTTTTTACTGACAATATTATCTTGACTTTTCATGTCATCAAAAAATAATATTAATTAAGACTACATTAGAAACCTCCACATCTATTAACAAATACCTTCTAAATTGTATCCAAATCGTGTCGGAATTTAGCCCGGGAGGGGGGGGTACTCCGCCAGGATTTGGGTAGGGGTGTTCCGGGACTCTGAAAGGGGTACCCTGTTTATAACAAAAAAAATCAAATTCGTAGACCCTGTTTATGACAAAAGATATAATTAATTGCACTGAGTTCCTGTTTCAATTATCATGCCAGCTCGTGTATCGCTTTTTGAAGACCATAGTAACCAGTTTCGGTCAATTCGAAAGTAGAAACCCTGAATATGACAAGAAACTCAGGAAAAAATTTGGAACTTGAGTGAAATTGCATACCCTGTTTATGACAAGAAGCTCGAAAAACCATACCCTGTTCAGCGGATCATCCCCGCATAGTCCATATATGGGAGTACTCCGCCCCCCCCCCCCCGGGGGAATTTAGGTACAAAGATATATACCAAAAGGACCTTAGATTGAGTTGATTGTGGTGTTTAACTGCCTTGTTCTATTGTTTTATAATCCAATAGGTCCTTTCGGCTAATGTGAGCGATTGCTAATCTATCAAAAAATATACATATATAAAATAGCTACCATTTATCAGATTCGATGAGTGGTTTAGAGCCCCCTTAAAAACTACAGGTAGCCCAAGCTTGACGAATGCTTAGAAAAAAATGGGATGAAAGTAAGGGTTTTGCATATTATTTTATAGCATTCATATACACTATACTATCAGGTATCAAAATCGAATTAAAAAAAAATTTCCTTACTAAAATCATCTTTAATATACATGTATTTTGAATCTGATTTTGAACATTCAATGTATTCAACTTTGGGATTCCTGTGTTAATCGTAATTGTTTACTTGATAACCGCTGCTTCACAAGACTGCAGAAGTATTTTCACGATGGCGTCGTCCGATGCCGAGGAAGAAGAACTAGAGGACAGTCTCGTTAAAACAAGACTATTAGATCCCGATACCTTCCCTGAAAACATCAAACAACAGAAGCAGGGAGACAAATTATTAGCCTACTTGCAATGCTGTAAGTAAACACGTAATTTCTTGATTATGTTTGCGATATGATCGAAAATTATTACAGCTGTACAAATTGAAAACTTGATACCTAGTATWCCCGGTAGTATAGTACGTATAAGTTGTACTTCGATCGATATCCGTTTGAAAGGAAAGTGAATCGAAACTACTGTGAAAATTAAAGTAGTAGCTTAAATTTCCTGGGCTGGACAAAATCCAAAAATTCGTCAAAAATTGAGAACTTTAAGTTGTCGACTTTTGCTTTTGTTTGCACAGACTTGACCATCTTTTATTTACAAAGTTATTTTTATTGAAAACAAATATTGACATCTGTTTGTTTGATTTGGTTAAGAGATGCTGTGTTCAAGTCTATAGTGATTTAAACCGAGCTGAGCTTTTTCCTTTGGGGCGTCAACGTATGAAGGCTTTGTTGGCAAGTCGTTATGCGTGATTATAATTATAATATATGCATGTCTCCGCACACGTACTATCGCTTAGGTGATTAGGAATTAGGCATTCAAAATAATATGTAAAAAAGGCGTCACAGGAAAATTTCTCAGAGGGAGTTTGCATCAGTCCATCCTTCTCTACCCCCTCACATAATGACCAATTCCTTAAAGTAACCTTATCATTCGAATACGCCATTACTAATTTGTTAATTTTGTTATTTTAGATTTTGTAACTATTGCAGCCATTCTTGGCACAGGAATATTAGGTACACTGACCAAGATTTTGTTGCTATAGCTATGTTATATTAGTAAACTATTTCATAGCAGCCACCTTAGTGTAAGAGTGGTGGCTCATGCAAGATACTTACAATAGTGGTCATTACTGCCATTTTCAAAAACACACGAACTCAGCAGCTGCGTTGAGTTGCACACTGAAATTTGTTATTTTTGGACAGTCGAAATATGAAAGATACCAACTGATTAGTTTTAAATGATGGTAGCATAGCAAAGAACCAAATTTCAGTGTGCAGCTCACAGCTACCGAGTTTACATGTTTATGAAAATGGCAGTAAAAGGGAGTTGACTACAAGTATATTTATATACTAGTAGCTGATTATATCTACCAATTTATTTATCCCCTCCCCACATCAAGGATAGTTTTTGTTAACTAGTAGTCTTACCTCAACATGCATTTTAAATTCCAGGACTACCTGTAAAGCTTTCCAATTCAGGGTTTATGCCATTCCTGCTTGTTTTTGTCCTTGGGTTCTTCGCTCAGGTACTGTAGACCATACACACAATTAATTTCTATAAATATCTATCCAAATAATCACTATTCCATGTCAAGCTTTACCAATAAAGTGAGAAAGCCGTCATGACAAGAAGATAGGAGATAAGATTTTTTTATTCCCGAGGAGTGGGGTGGGATAGGGATCATTTGTAATAACTTTTGACGAAAAAAAAAAAAAAGTGTAAAGAGTAATCTAAAGATAAAACTAAAAAAGTGCTTTATTTGCTAGGTTTACTCCTTGTGGGAGAGAATTAAGATAGATAAGTCAAAAGTCAAGATGAAGTATTTGATACGTCTAATACATAATCACTAAGTGTGTTGGGATGCAACATGACAAGTGATGATGTGGAAATAGGTCAGCATGCTGACACAGAACTGCTAAATGAGGGTATTGAATTAAATTATATGTTTTTCCTTTTAGGCTTTGGTTATATATTACTTTGTTGAGATCCTACAGAAAGCATTTGTGATCGAACAAGACGAGGAAAGAAAGAACTCCATGGTAAGACACAGATCCTTAGTAATTGGCCTTTTTTTAATGTTTAAAAAACTATATGATTTGATTCTAAATTTGCTTGTCAAAAGCTGTTCAGCAGTGAAGGAGTTCCTTTACAAGATGTTGACGAAAACAAAGAGGATGATTCTGGGGATGAAAATGAGAAACAAATTGAGCCGAAACAACAAGGTAAAGTGTAGCGAACCCAGGATTTTAAAGAGGGGTTCCAATATGGTCACCAAAAGCTGGTCTTCAAAGCCATGGTGCAGGATTATGAGGTGGGAGGGGTCCAATTTTATTTTACTGAGTGTAAAAAGCATGATTGGCTTCACAAATCTCACAAAAGGAGGTTCTGTGGAACCATTCTTGGAACTACCACTAACAAGGCAGAGTTTCAATATCTTGTCTTGATTTGACAAGGTCTTTGCAAAAACAACTTGCATTGTATAACACCTGCATAGCCAATGAAGTCTTGTCTATTAAGCTTTAGCTGTTGTATCACAGTGTAGGACAATCACAACAGAGCTTGGCACCAAACTAGCTGAAAGAACAAAAAATTAGAATTTAGAAGTTGATTTTTGAGGGAGAAATACTGGAGAACCCGGAGAAAAACCCTCAAAGCACAGGAAAGAACCAACAAACAACTCTACTTACATATGACACTGAGACTGGCAGGACTTGAACTTCGGCTGCATTGGTGAGAGGTGACACATTAGCAGCACACACCACCTATGCTTGCTTATTGTTTCATTCATCACTTTAGTAATGTTGGTATTTTACAGCAGATAGTTCAAAGGTGACGTACCAGGTCAGTGATGATGTTGTCTCTATGTCTCACTACCCAAGCCTTCATTCACTGGCTGAGCTCTTCCTGGGGCCAGGACTACAACAGTTGTTTGATCTTGCGATAATACTCATGTTGTAAGTTCCTACTATAGATAAAAAATGGTTTGTTTAACAGGAGTGGTGTATGTACATCTGCAATATATAAGATGTTTTTTTGTTTATAGCTCTGTCATGTCCCTAGGGAGGGGTGCTTCACTGGATGGCCAAGCACTTCCTTCTTGCCCATGAGTGCTTAAGCATGCAGGAAAAAGAATGTCAGTCAGCATAAAAATTGGACATATTTTATTTCCGAGGTTAACCCCTAATTCAGAATCCTAGATCTGGTTCCCGACTTGCTTCATTCAAAAAGGGTGCAAAAAGATAAGAGGAAGAAAGCCAAATTAACCCTTGTGAGTTTTCTACCAGACATTTCTGACAAGCATATCTAACCAACATTTTGTCATGTCAACAGTGTCTCTCTTCTGATTAGCTACTCCTTGGCTGGCAGTCAAGCCTATGCTCAGTTAGGGAACTTCCAGTAAGTACAAATGGTTTTTAAAGATTTTCATATAGTCATGACAGGCATAAAGTGTGACCCCTTGTAACAATATGTTGATGCCTTGACTTGTAACATAGTCCAGGGCCTTTTCCATAAAGCTCTGTTAAGATATAAGCATCTGTAAGTATTATTTTTTAGTACAGTACAAGACACAGTACAATGGTTTATTATTATTAGGACCAATACGAACAAGGCCCAGGCCGGCCCTTATAGCAAGTTGTTTTTTTTATCAGACTGTTATACGTCATTCCTGTCTTCACATGGGTTTGTACCTTCATCATCATCTTCCTTCAATCATGCGTACAGCCATTTGTATCAGTCCTGACGTTCTGCAAGGGCACTCTCTTTACAGCTTGTGTAAGTATTAACTTTTAAACTCTCTTAGAAAGTAAAAACCACTACTGGTCCTCGGAGAATGTGCTGTTCTTATTCATTCTCATTTGTTTGTCAATGCACCCATTTGCACATGCATACTGCATGCGTCACTTCACCCAGTCATTTATTCACCTTTACTTTATTCTTGATTGTTGGTTGTTTGTAGGTTTTGGCAGCAATGTACGTTGGATATTTTGTCAGAGGAGAAATTGCAGAAGACATACGATCTGTCGGAGAACCATTCCTCATGGGAACAGTTGCATTAGGTCAGTTGTTTGTTACATCTATCTCATTATTACAGCATGCTTACAAAATGGTGCCTTTAGTTGTTTTGTGTTAACTAGTTTTTTTTTGTCAGAAGTAAAATCTCCTTGGATGGTGGATGTGTTTTCAACCAAATTGTTTCAATGAAAATTTTTTTACCATTAACAAGGTTAACTATTATAACACGGTCTGTTTTAGGTGGTGTTGTGAACGTAATGCCCATGATATTCACCAAAATAAAGCTACAGGCAACACAGGTGAGGATGGATGAATGGATGGATGGAGGCAGAAGGAAAGAGGGATGACAAGAGGATCATTTAATGCAAAAACATTACAGTGTCTCATATCTATATTGACTTTATTTACCAATCACCTGTATAATCATTCATTTTAAGGTGTTGCAGTACAGACAGGCGATAATCGCTGGCACTTTTACATGTACCATACTCAACATTCTTTGGTAAGGAAACTAATCACCCAGTGTGTATTAATAAAATATTGTTTAAACAGGTAGTGTACTTGACACGAGTCTTAAGAGAGCAAACAAACCCATGGTACAGAAATGTAGTGCCATGCCTTGACTGTCATTTGCGCCCATGTATTTTTATGGATGACTCCAATTCAACCATGATGGTGCCATGTCTGGCAAAATCTTCTGTAATGAACAAGGGTGCTATTTCAGTCTTTCCCCAATAGACTACTTTCAAGTTCCCAATTAATTACCACGGTGTTTCTTGATTACAGACTCATTTACTCAGGCTTAGCCTCGAATCAGTGTCTAAATATTCACACATACCAACGGTAAAGTAAAGAATGCACAAGTTCAACAATACGAACACTTTGAAACTTGACGGACCTTGACTGGAACACGTGAATATTCTTCACAAAATCTAGGCTAAGCCCGAGTAAATGAGTCTGTAATCAAGAAACACAGCAGTAATTTGCAACTTGAAAAAGGTGTATTTTGATAATTCAGGTTGGGTTCCCAGTCATATCCCCACCCCTCCCCACCAACACCCTTAACATGTGTTGTATCTTTTTTCATATTTAAGGTGTTACGCAGTACTAGAGATTGTTCCACAGAAACAGTGCTTCATAGATTCTCCTGCAAGCCGACGCAGTTTGCTGACTTCCAATGTCACTGACAATGTACTAAAATCACAAGAATCTTGTTCGAGAAACAGTTCCTTGCAGTGGTAAGAAACCTCGCTAGTAATAAAAAAAACCTTTACTCATTAACTATTGATAAGGGACCTTTTCCCTTCCAGGGCTGAAGCGAATGGTCAGATATCAACAATTCCATTAACAGAGGTAAGTAAAACAGTTCTTTTTCTACCAGTAATTTTCTGTCCCTCCAGTGAAGAAAGCATGTGCAAATTGAAACCTCCCTTAGCTGATTATTGTGCGAGTCTTTTCCCAGCCTGTGCAATGTTACTAAATAAAAAAAAAAGTGTTGGATGTGTCTCAGACTTTTTTTACAACTAGATTCTGCACAAGGAGTACTCAGAGTTTGCATGGATAGCTGTACTTATTCAAGTCTTCGTAATGATTAGCATAACTGTTTCTTTTCTGACAATGGGGGCAGCACTTCGACATATGAGTAAGTATGCCACTTAGGTGGTATTGGGTGTACCCAGAAACTTTTGCAATATCTCTACTCTGGTAACCATGGGGTTCTGGGAATAGGACTGTTGTGCATGTCCAGTATTTCCCTTTTGTAAAGTACATGATCCGGTACAAGGTCTGGTGACTAGAATCTTGTTGTGCTTGCACAGTAACTCCTCATTAACCTGATCTGCATATATCTGGTATTTGGGTTCCCTCTGTAATTGTGATCTGCGAAACACTTGATGAGTAGTGTATCTTCAAGATGATAAATGATAAACAGCTGCGAGTGAAATAGACCAGTAGGATGTGTCCAATGACAAATTCTGTTTATCCTATTTTTTCTCTTTTCATCCCTTTTTATTAAGGCTTCTTCAGTTCTAATCATTTGTTTTTCAGTGGATGGATGGTTTGATTCGTTTTTTACTGTGCCCAAAAAGAACTGGCAGCAAGGCAACCTGGAGAAAAACCGTTGTGGTATAAGTCTAAGAAGGTTTGTAGAAAATAGAATTTCATAGACATTCATTTCAACACATTTTACCACTCTTTTCACTGCTATGCACTGATTGAGACAATTGTTGCAACAGGGAAATACTCTGCCTCCAATCATAGAATATAAACGTACTGACCAATTTATTTGATTGACAGAAGTGTATTGCCCAATTTCCTTGTTGCTACTGTTGTCTCAATCAGGGCAATAGCAGTGAAAAGAGTGGTAAATATGATTGCCAAAACGAGCTCAATCTGACTAGATTATTAATGTTCCTTGTTGCAGTGTTATCAAGACAGTTGGATTATTATTGGTGTTTGGGTTCGTGTTTACAGTTGCTATGATCAACCCAAAGGTAAACTTGTTAGTGTAAAGTAAATTACTTTCAATAAGTGTATTAAATATTGATATGAAAGTTAATATACTCTTACACTAAAGAGAGTAGAAATGTTCTGAAAATAAAGTAAAATAAAGTTTGTTTCACCTTTTTTCCACAAACTAGACTAATAATACCCTTCTTCTCATTTAACAGGGATTTGTTACCATCCTGGAAAATGCAACATCTTTTATTATGAATTTGGAGTCTGGAGTCTTTGTAGTAATAATGTTAAACAGGGCACATGCTCAAAAGTACAGGTAGGATTTTGCAAGCTCTGCATAAACCTACGTTAATCATGGTCAGTACACTTACTTGATTCGTGTTGTGTTTTTTTTCCAGACATCTTGGAGTACCAGTTCCCCTGTCTAGATTCCTCATCTATCTAAAGTACCCTGTAGTTCTGTATTTTCTTATTGCTGTAGGTTATGATGTGGTGGAAATCATCCACCATTCTCTGCACAGTCAGACATTTGATGTTCACAGACTACCGCCTTTAAGAAATGCTCAAAACTTATCTGAATCTATTAATGCATCAGGTTTATTGCATCTTACTCATAATAGAAGATGGCGTGTATATAATTTCATAAATAGTACTAATTAGTTAAATATACAGTATCTTGAAATATAATCTTTTTTGAAATATTTTGAAGGTGGTGAGAAAAATCACATATGTAGTTCCACAAAATATCCATACCCCACCATCCGGAATTTCCAGGGGGTGGGCGGTCAGAGAAAAAACAAAATTTCAAGCTTTGAATGGAAGAAAATTGGAAATTCCAGTGGAGTGGGTAACCTTTTTTAAATGTCCTCCATGGCGAGGTATGGGAATGGCATCAACAATAATAATATGTACTGTATATATGATATGTCGACAATAATGTGCAAATCAAAAATCAAGATTACAGATTATTAAATATAATTATGTACATCATTAGGTATTCTAGAAAATTACTTCTCCACCTAAACTAAACTACAAATTACAATTCTGGCTGTATGAATGTTTTTGTGTTATAGAAATGAACAAAAAGAATGTTTTTTTTTCAGAAACCTTTTGGAAGTTTGGGAACTATTTTTGAATGGTCAGTTGGAAGATACAACTCTCTAAATTATTTTTCACAAAAGGAGCCTTTGAGAACTCCATACATTTTGAACATTTATTTTACTACTGCAGAATATATTCTTGGTAGACCAAAAAAGAAATTAGTATGAACAGTGGCTTTATATCTAGTTTTGAAGGAAATAATTCCTCATTTGTGTAAATTTAAATTTAATTTAAAATTTATTTGGTTTCTGTTTATTTTATTATATAATAATTGTTGGTTGAATAAAATTCAAAGCAATTAATATGATGCTGTTTTTTGAGATTGATATTGTATCAGTGACTGTGTTCGTTCTTTTTAGTAGCTCCACTTAAAACAAGATGCCCATTGGCAGAAGTATCACAGACTTTGTTAACAAAGCCTTTTTTGGGCCTTACATTTGAAATGAAGTTTTTGTGAAGAAAATGGCGGCGTTCACAGTAGTCACTCTCTCTGGTGAACAGGCACTGACTTAAAACTCATGCTTCAGGATCGGATGTTGTACATAGTAAAAACTCCAAATTTAACAGTTTTAGACAAACTTATGATGATGTTGAATTTAAAAAGCATAATTACCCAGTAAGAACAATCAAAGAGCAAACAATCAAAGAACAATCATCATCACAGTTTACTACTGACGGCAGCCTGTGTGAAGTCTTTCCAACCACATAGCAAATCTGCTACAATGTTGAGTCGATCTTGACCCCAGAGTATAGCACCATCATTGACTTGATAACTGGGTACTCCACAAACACCATTCTTTACAGCCCTGGTAGGGGACATAATAACGCTGGTTCTTACAGTAAATAATGTTAGAGTATAGGAATTAGCTTTGTATCACTAACTACTACTACAACAGCAGCAGTAACACCCCAGGGGGTACTCTTGCCTGTTTAGAGTAGGGATGTGCCGCTGAGCCCTCTGAACCCTGACCCTGTTCCAGAGCAAAATCGCTGAAATTCATACCCTGTTCCAGAGCAAGATTGCTGAAAATCATACCCTGTTCCGGTATTGCGAAAATAGATACCCTGTTCCAGAGAGGAGAGAGCGTGATTTCACATACCCAGTCCCAGAGCAAGTGCGATTTCATATACCCTGTTCCAGAAAAGAATTGCTGAAAACCATACCCTGTTTGGTGGCAAGTACCCATATAGTGAATATAGGGGAGTACCTCCCCCCCGGGAGTAACACCACCAACAGTAGCACTAGCAATATAAAAGCACTAGCAGAAGAAACAATAGCATCACCAATGACTACTGCAACAGCATCAGGGGCAAATGCTACTAGTGCCTTAATACACAGCCTGTAAAGTCCTCCACTGATCTCGTAACTGGAAATGGCGCTATATAAATTTGAATCATTATTATCATTATTACTAAACAGTAATGGAACTGAACACCAAACACACCAATAGTGGGAGCAACAGCAACCACAACAACAGAAGCAGCAACCATGACAGCAGCAGCAACAATGGCAGCAGCAACAACAACAGCAGCAGCAACAAACTTACCTTTCTGTATTTGCTCTGAGCTTATCCTTGATATCTTGTCTTTGTGTTTGTTCTATCAAATGATCTGCATTGAACCCTGCATCTAGCAATACTTCTCGCAAGACCTACAGAATAGAACAGTCAGTTTCCTGTTTCTGTACACTGAACATTGTAATAGACCCTTTTCAAGCTCCAAATTACCGATGTGTTTCTTGATTACAGACTCATTTGCTCAGGCGAAGCCTTGGATCAGTGTCTAATTACTCGCAAATACCAACGGTGAAGTAAAGAATGCACAAGTTCAACAATACGAACACTTTGATCTTGACGGACCTTGACTGGAAAACAAGAATATTCTTCACAAAATCGAGACTTAGCCTGAGCAAATTCGTAGTGTTGAACTTGTGCATTCTCTACTTCACCGTTGGTATTTGCAAGTAATTAGACACTGATCTGAGGCTTAGCCTGAGCAAATGAGTCTGTAATCAAGAAACACAGTGGTAATTTGCAACTCGAAAAGGGTCTATTCAAGTAGTCAAGTATTTATTCATCACTTTGAACCTTACCTTTTTTTCACCAATATTCTTATCATATCGCCATCCAGCTTCATCTAAAACAAGAAAAGGGCAGAATGATAAATAATTTTACTTAATTGCACAATGATCACCTAGCGATGTTTGGGATTCCTTTGTTACTCTTGACGGAGAAGGATTAGGAGAGAGAATAAGGAAACAGGAAGGTGTTGCCTACATTTTACATGTACTGTCGATAAAATAGAATCTAAATACTGCCATCCCAAAAGTGCAAGATGTCTCTGATCTAGCAAATAAAGTATAAACAGGAATATACCACAGGAATCCCAACTCCTGCAAAGCTTATATAGTTTGTGTATTTCCAGAAATTATCCATAACCCCCACAGAGGAAGTTGGAATTTCCAAGGGGTGGGGGTCAGAGAAAGAACAAAATTATCAAGATTGGAAAAATAAAAAATAAATTTCTGGGGGTAGGGAGTCTTAAAAACTTCTCTGTGGTGGGGGGGGGGGGGGGGGGGGAGGATAATTTTTTGAACTACTCATTACATACTCACAAATAACTTGCCGCAGCCTATCATCTCCATCTACTAGAGACACTCTTAAAGGAAGTATTGTCCTCAATGGGAAATGAGAGGTCCAATTCAATTCCACCTTTTTATACTTCAACCAGTCCTTCAGGTCTTGAACTCCATAGTTACGCTTAGCTTCACTAACAGCCTGCATAGGGACCTGCAACAATCATGTGATATTCTAGCAACTTCCTCCTAATATCTGTAACTTATGAAAGGGGCCTTGCGTAGGGCAAGGGGGAGGTTAACACTTCCTCCTGAAATTTGGGTGTCTAAAAGCTTTGAGGAGAAAACTTAAAATATTTGAGAAATTCTACATTATTCAATGTTGGGATAGAAGGACAGCATTTTAAAATGAGAATATGTGGACCACGTAGCACTTATGAAATACATGAAGATATAGAAATATGGATAAGTTATAGTGCTTAGGGACGAGGTTATTCTGGGCGAAAACCCTTGGAATTAAATTCAGAAAAATTAATTTCCAACCTTGCTGGGAATCAAACCCACGACATTCGGAATTGTACTACTAAAATGGTTCTCTGCATGGCTCATTCCTTGAGTGAATGTTAGATCAACCAAAATGGTGGCTGTTTCATTATTTTTTAGCTCAGCCGAGGGGTTTGGCACAAAATTTCATCTAACTTTCCAATAAAATAATCTACACAAAATTAAGGCTAGCCTTCAGCAGCAGAGCACCCAATACTAGAGATTTTTTTCTTTAACATGCAATATGTATGAGAGTAGTTAGCTTACCACAGGGGTTCCTATAGTCTTGAATAAAGCACCCAACACAATAGGCACCCATTCCACCTCTACTTGGACAGGATATACACTTTTTAGTAACTGGGTGATCTGTAAATAAAAAATGTAGCAATATATTGATTTTATAATAAATTTTAGATATATTGATTATCAGAGATAAATTTGAATAGTTGAATACAATAATCATAATGATTATCAGAGATAAGTTCCAATGCTAACTAATGCTTACTTGCTAACTCACCAACCTACTCTATATCACACACCCACCATACCAAGCACCTAACCACTTACACACTCACTCACTGACTAAAGCTGAGCAAAGAGAACTTGAAAGGGGAGTTTGCTATTTTCTTCTAATACCTGTGTTGATCCTAGATAGCTCCAAGGACTTGCAAAATCATGATATATTGTTAACTTTGTATTAGTTGGATGAGCTGGTGGAGAAGCAAGACGAAGAGGGGCTGCTGAAGGATTTCCTAATTCATGTTCAAGCATATGCAGATGGTCTACTCCATACAATAACTTGTTATTCACCCAGAAACTGTTGAATTCACACAAGGAAAGTATGATAACTTGAATGATCCATATTCCATAATAGAAAGGAGGAGGTTGTCAGGACAGAACAATAGAGATACAGAGATTTTCTTTCATAGTGTTGTCATTTGAGACCTTCAGATCCGACAAGAAGATTAGAAGCACTAGAACCAGTAAGTTTTTAACTTTTAAAGATTGGCACTATCGTTTTGTAGTTATGGCGGTCATTGACTAGGATTCAGTGTTAACCACATGCACAATACCATTTTTTAAACTTGTAGTTGTTGTCGGATCTGAAGTTTCCCAATGTCTGGAGTAGACAGTATTTGTCTTACCATCTCTTTGCCTCTGAAAATATTTCTTATAGTGCAGAACAAATCAAAGAAACAACCAACCTGGGAACACCAAAGGCACCTCGGTCTAAGGCTTCATTTACATTTTTCCAGAGTATCTCCTTGCCGACCCCATTTATTGTCTCATTTACATTTACATCCCAGCCAACTGATGACACACCTTCTTCTAAGACATCTAGCTTTGCAACATCTGAAATAATAAATTTAACACTAGCTTATCACAGTGGGATAATATTTCATCCATCCATCTAATCCCCTCCTGACATTGGTTAGAGAATAGCAATATGCAACAACAAAAACTAGTATCAATTGACAGGTGTATCAATCAATCAATCAATCACTTTATTAATGTGTTGTTTTACTAGCTTGCCGCAAGTGAGTATACTAATTGGGGACACCTAATTACCTTTGTCATGAACCCAGAAAGCTCTGTATAGCCAGTGCGTAAGGTTGATACATGTCTGGGGAGAGTATTGCGATGCAGCTGCCAATAACCTCATGCTGCTCAGGGAATTCCTTGGAAACTGTGATGGTTCAATGGCCTCTACACCATTTCGATACATTGTCCTTTTAAGATCTAAAACACAGTACATAAAATTCCTTCAGCGATGAAAACACATTTGTCTAGGAATGTAAATTACAGTATATATTCCTATGATAACATCTTAGAAATCACAATTAAAAATCCTTAGTGTGTAGTTCCAGAAAATATTCATACTTCACTATGAAGGGAATTTGTAAAAGGACCCCACTACCACCAGGAACTTCCAATTTTCTTCCATACAAACTTTGTAATTTTCTTCTTCCTCTAACCCCCCTCCCCTCCAGAATTTCCAATTTCCTCTGTGGGTTGGGTGTGGATATTTTCAGGAACTATGCATCTAAGTTTTTTACATGCAGTACCATGTACTACTTAAGGGATAATTGAAAAGAAAGAAACAAGGGAGCATTCATAAATAATTAAGGGACAGGGGGGATATGGGGACTTTAAATTTGAAAATATTTTTAGGTGGTTCCCACTTAAACCATAACATTTTTAGTAACCCCCCTCCCCCTAACTAGGGGCTTTTACAAGTAGCATACACTAATACACTAATTAATATCTTTGGTTTTGAAAAATATTTTCAATAGCCCACCATTAATTTATCCTGATTGAAAATGGCTTTGCCTCTCCAAATCCCCATGGCCTGGCTGCCACCCCATAAATTAAGTATGCTCCATAATATTCAAGAGAATGACACGTGCTTGAAAATGGAAAGTGTGGGGCACAAACAGTGGCATAAACTATAAAAGTTAAAAGAAGATACTTCTAGACCCTGAGGGTCACCTACTCGTAAAATCATAATATTATAATTTTGAATTCTTATTAAGTTTTATAATTTTGCAAATTATTTAATGTATGTGAATAAATCTATAAAGTCAAAGACCAATGCCTGACTTTTACTGAGCTAAAGTTTACCTTACCCCCTGAGGAGTAGTATAAAATATAAAATTATATTTTATGACAAAAAATATCACTTGACAGATGAAAATACAAAACATATGTGATTCATTAACACCAGTATAATTCAAATATCATTTAAGACCTAATGACCTTCAGATATAATCTTGACCTTGGCTGGACACATTTGGTTGTATGCGGAGGAATTCCCATCTCCTGTTGTGCCTTTGTAAAGACCACCTGAAAAGAGTATTTAACCTGTGTGGGCATCTCTGCTGTGCATTAATCTACTAAAGGATAACCCCCACTTCCTTGGTTATATACCATATAAAAATGTTTCCACAAATCCTTAAGGAAAAGGAGTGAAAAACTATATTCTTGAAGGTCAATGGATAATCTATGTTTTCTTTGGCCAATCAACAGTGGCATAGTGCCAGCGCACTTGCCTCTCCCCTCTGGGGTCTTGGGCTTGACTCCTGGAGTTTGGATCCATTTCAAAAGCGTTAGCCAAGTCCCTCTCTTTATTCAAAGGTTTTTCTCCAGTTTTCCTTCCTCTGCAAAACCCTAACAAGCTAAATCCTAATTCCCTGGGTGGACATATGATGGGGTTTGACTGTAATGACCTCGTAAGCCCTTTTCATTGCTTAGCTTTGAACATGTCACAGAAAAATTCCAAGGGATATGGAAAAATGGACTTCCTAAGAGTGGGTCGTAATGAAAAGAAATTCCTATTCATACATTTTTTCATTGCTAATATTAAACAAATATTTGATCTACAGAAAGCTCAACTATATCAGTGGATTCTAATCTTTGTAAGTGCTATTGAGGAACTCGATAATAATGAAGTTGGGACGTAATCATGAGACGACCATTTCAAACACGCAAAACTCGACGAAGAAATACGATCACCACCATCACCTAACAATATGCCGACAGCTATGTAATCAAATAGCCTTACTTTAAATTCAATGAGTTGAATTTTAAGGATTCTTGATTCGATAATTATTTGAAGTTTCAAAGCTTTAAAAAGTTGTTCAAAACTCACCAAGAAGGACAGGCTTCCAAATGATTTTTGATTCTGTTCGCTTAGCAAAACCCTCAATTACTCTACTAGCCACGTATGCGAATGGACAAACAACGTCGTAATAGAATATGAACTCTTTCATAGTTGCTGTAAAAGATGCGTTTTGACGTAGTATTTTGCACTAAATGGAATAACAACAATGATACAAGAACTCAATGTTTTTCTCTCTCAGACGCCATCTTGAATCAGCCTCGTTTGTATGCGAGGTGATTTGCATAACGTGACGTCATGAGGTACTTCGACCTTCGATTCGATGATTGACATCCAGTCCAAAATGGCAATAAACAAACAAAACAAAAAACGTAAGAAACTCTAAAAAGTATGCGTAGTTGCGAAAGGCCTATGCTCTCATCAAATAGGAATGTAGACTAAGATTTTTTCCCCCATTCCTCCCTTGTAATCTTAACTCGAATCTCGACATTGGGATCAACTTACAGTTTGGTATAGTAAAACCGAACGAAGGGCACATAAAAGATATAATCCACATCAGTTATAGCACATTGCTAAGTGACCTATAGTTTATTTGTTGACGGGAAAGTTTCACGCCTAAAGTCGGCAAATTAAGTGACTCGGCAGTAGCACAACTGATGTGAGTCAACGGGAGAGATTCCTAGTGCTACAGCGGTGATCTGTTCAAAACTTGGAACCGTGCCATACTAGCTAGTCAGTCCATAATCGGCTGGCATGTCAATATTTACTAGATTGCACGGCAACCAATAAAGTGGGGTTATATCCCTGTATGGTGGTTGTTTTATTGGGCGCATTACATTTCCATCAATCTCGATCCCATCAGTCAAATGCAGTGATTTCATTCCAAGTCATTCCATGTGACGTGCTTTCAGGGAACTGAGCTTTTTTTTTGGGACGAGCGTGGAGTAGCAATGAACAACACGGCTAGTAAGCCCAACATATCTGACCTCAGAGATGTAGGAGTACCTTGTGACATACCTCGCTGGTTAAGCCTTATCATTCTGCTAGCAGCCAGTGCTTCGATACCTCTAGCTTTGCTTTATCATTCGAGTAACTACCTGACGAGCGCAGATGGACTTGCAGATGGGGGAGATATGTACTCACACTTCACTGAAGCGTTGCATCTTAAACAACAGCTACAACAGTGGGAAACAGACCTTTGGTACGATGGCGTTACTCTGGGTTATCCCATTTTCTTGGCTTACCAGCCCCTTCCTTGTTGTGTAACCGCTGCTTTTATGACCTTGTTTGAGAGGTAAGTTCATTTATTCAGTAAAAAAATCTTGTATTTGGTCCGCGAGAAAGGCTGCGAGATGCCGTGTTAGCGACTGGGCTTGAATTAGAAACCCTATGACTGACAATAAGCACGCAACTATAGTGTTTCCAAGTATAATTCCTGACTGAGCTGAGAACATCCTACTGAGGGGCGTAGCTTGACGGAGAGCAGAGGGGAACTGCTCTTGTACATGATGAATAAATCTACAGTTGCTGTCTATTTTATTCTTTTCATGCGCACCTACCACCTAGCCATGATTGCACTTCCAAACGTATCACAGATGTGAGGTTTTAAAGTTCACTCCGGCTTCAATGATTGCAAGATATATTTAGAACTGTGGATGAGAGGGTTGTCGTAAGGGATACGTTAGGTTTCGAGCAAGGTACCCTAAGAGTGAAGGGTATTGTAACTCAGCTTGACGCATGTTACCTTACAACTTTGTTGCGCTGAAAAATACTGTTATTAACTTTTTCAATGTGCTAGTCTTTGTTTTCCTGAACGAAAGAAATTTTCCACGAAAACATGTTTTGAAAACAAACTGTGGACAATATCACGTAGCCAGCATTCAAAATCTTGGAATAACAATAGTGATGGTGGTTTAACGCGCAAACAAAGAACAAAATTTTACCCTTAAAGCTTACAAAATTTCAATACCTTAGGTTGTGGACCATTATGTCATGAATCATGTTCTATACAAGTCAGGATAGGTCTGTAAAAGGTTGCGTGCGTTCATTGTCAGATGAGGAAGAGAGCAGAGAGCAACTAAGTCAACAAAAATAGCATGCTAAAAAAGATTAGCAGATTTACTAGTTCTAATGGCGTCAAAAGCAGAGGGTGGATATAAAGTTCTAACTCGGAGTAGATTTTACCAATTTTCCTTGAATCAGATGTCGAATGAGCACGTTTTGAGCAAGTCACAGGTCCAGTGACTATCATGTTATGCCTAATCAGGTACAACTTGAGCTCAGTCGCGTGAGAACTTGCATGGAGGTCGCCAAGACATTCACATTAAAGTGTTTTAGATTGACTTTTTTTCTTCCCGCAAACGGAAAACGTGACCACTTTTTCATCGTATTCTTGTGTGTTTTACTTATTGAGCTATTTACAAACTTTCTCAGCACACAAAAATATTCTTTTGTCTTTATACTACTTGGATTATTTGCGATTCCTTTTCAATGATTTAAAAGAATTTTTCACTGTTCGACTGACGTTTGCCATGAACGAAAATCTAAAACTCTCTATTACTATTACGTAACACGTGTGACTAATGAACTTAGAGTTGTGCTTCTTTGATAATTCTTTACTTCACGTTAGTTACTATTATTATTAAATAACGAAAAGGAGAGCGTGTAGTTTCGAAACGCTATAGTAGTAGTAGAGGCGCTTTTTCTAGAAATTTTACCAAATTTTCATGATATCATACTTACATTGTCATCCGAACTACACATTTGACTTCATGCCAATAGCGTGAGTGGTACGTACGTAGTCGGCTTTCGCCGCGTGCAATTTCAAGTGATGGTGCTAACGTAGCCGCTTTTTAGCTGACGCATTGAACAATTTGCCCATCTAGAGTACATACCATATATTCGTAAGAAATTAACTAGCAAAATCCTACAAACTATAGCGCAAAGCGGTTTTGTTGGTCTACGTTCTACCAGGGAGGTGGATCCGTACTAAGTCTACTAGTCTACTGAGGTCTTCTGAGATTTAGTGAACTTTCTAATTTGTGCAATTTCTTACAAAGTGCATGCACTCTATAGAATAAATATATAGATTAAGTTTGCAGCGGCTGAAATTGTAATCCGAAAGAATATATATAAAACAGAACACTACTTGTCCTTTTCATGGTTAATTTAAATCTTGGTTAACCAGTTATGCGGATAATCCTTTTCTTTTCTAGAGACATGTTTGCTTTCTAATACTTCTTTCAAATGTAGCTACTAATCTACTGAGAAACTTTTAAATTACTCTGTACAAACTTATGTTGTCCAATATTGCATCCTAGTATATACATAACTGCTGGAATAATGTGGCTCATGAACACCACAGAATTTGGCAGTTTTGTCTTCGTTTATACTTACTGAACAAAACTGCAAAAACATTTAAAAACGAAATTTGGTAGTTCTCTGAGCTTGAAAGAGAGTTGTCTTCTTGGATAATTAACAGTTGGCCGCGCTTAAAACACACACACAAAAAAGTTTTTAAACCTGAGTTTTAAAGCCATGAAAGAAACATAGTTTAAAATAGGAGCATCAAGGCATGTTTCGTATATGATCGATATGTGCCACGCTTACTTGTAAAAGGAGAAAAAATATTTTTAATAAGGAGTTTTAAAGCTTTTACCAACTCCAAATTTGCTACTGAGAAACACCATTAACCATGAAAAGAAACGTATTTAAAAATAGGAGTATATTATCGACGTTAAACAGGGTCAGTATATAGCCCTAGTATTAAAAGTTCGCGTCCTTCATGACTAAAGTCACTGCTGTAATAATAATGATAGTCAGGCTAATCAGGATTTTGATATAAGGTATTTCTATCGACCCAGACGATCGACTCAACCCGGAAGTGACGACTTGCATTGATGGAACTCTCTGTTACTTCAGGGGAAAATTCAAACCTCATTTCACAGTAAAACAAAAATCTCACGACCGACAGCTAGATTGCGAATACCAGTATTGATTGCTATAGCTTCGACGCTCTCTAAGGCGAGAGATGTTTGAAGAATCAAAGAGTTCAATGCTTTCTTATAATGCAAAGAGCCAGTGTCTACCCTTTTATAAACGTCACGTTTCAATAATTGTTTGGCGTTATGTATCTTTTCGTACGATCTCAACTGTATGGCATGCTTCCAAATAGCTAGCTGGGTACAATTAAGAATACAATCATTCCCGACTCGGTATCTCTCGCTCTGCCGCCGTTTTTTCGCTTTCTTTTCATTTTATCAGGGTCGTTGATGCGTCTGCTATGGTTGAATGGTACCCTCAACATTCTTGCGGTGCTGCGCACGAAATCGCAAGTTCAAGGACAAATAGTTGCGGTGTTCACAGGAAGGAAGATGTTCAATCACTTGATTTAAAGAGAAATGCTTATTAACCTCGTGATGCAAAGGCCACACACGGCTTGTACATAATTTGTTGAGACAACTTGAACTATGTGTAATGTGAGGTGTGGAACTGCGGATTTATTCGAAGCTACTTGAACCCCTCCTCCGCACCGCGCTTGCAGTCATATTTAAAGAATACTTTATCTCGTTAACCTGGGTACAATGTTACTATGTGTAAAATGAGGAGTGGAATTGTAGGTTTATTCAAAGCTATTTGAATCCCTCCGTGTTCGTAGTCATGTTTCGAAACTAGTTCATCTCGTTAACCTGGGTACAATGTTACTATGAGTGGAATTGTAGATTCATTCGAAGGTACTTGAACCCCTCCGTGTTAAAAGACTACTTTATCTCGCCACCTGGCTCCAATTCCCTGGATGCATGTTGATGTGCCTCACTAAACGACAATGGCTATCGGAATATTGAACTTTTTTGTTCAGTCTATACCTAAATCGGTTAGTCTAAATTATTAAGATATAATCACAATGCAAAAGAAAGAAAGAAAGAACGAAAAAACGAAAGAAAGAAAGAGTTTGACTCGATGTCATAATCGTCACTAGACGTCATTTAAGATCAACGAATTAAAATTTGCCTTGGAATTCATCGAATTGAACTGTAAACTTAGCTAACTTGCATTTTAATCATTGCTTACTTGGAAAGACCCAGCGGGGTTAAATTTAGACGAATCACAAATCGCCGCCAAAAATGACACCATGCAGAAGAACATGTAGTAGTAAGCATGGAGTCTGATATTGCAGCATTTTCTAGAACGCGTTGTGAGCAGGATTCAGGGCAAGTGATTGAGATCCTTATTAATTTCAAAATGTTTTAAAATCGCGTGCCTAGTTATTGAATAACACAGCACCGTTCGAGAGGCGGACGCTCTCTTTGCCAAAAGGCACACGCACCTGGTATGTCATCAATTTTGGCTGGAAAAGGCGACTGAATCTCTAAGTCTCTATATCCAAAACAAAATCCCTATATGTTAACGCTTGAGCATGTCTAAGCGACAACCTCATTCGAACCTCAGCAAAATTCAAGGAATGCGTGCACGTGTTAATTAATTTTGGCGGGAAATCATAGGGGAGTTCCTAGCGGTAATATCCTGTGGTATATAGTGGCACGCGGAGCTATGCGGCGGAACTAAAGGGTCAAGATAGATAAAACCCGATGTAACTAAATAAAAGGCAATCCAAACCGCTTGTTGCGAAGAAACACTTTTCACCGGATTAATTAAGTTGATAATGAAATTTTTATGCCAAAAGGTGTTTGCGGTTTGCTCACTCCCCCATCCCCTTCCCGCAACAGGATGCAATGACAAGTGGGACAAAGACGTCATGGTGTTTTGTTTGTCGATTATCTAACGAACAGTGGAAAAATAACGAACGTGCTCAGAAGCCGCCTACCCTTAAGTTGAGTGTTTTTGTAAGGCAATTGTCAACGTAAATCTGCCACCATGTATTTTTCGGTCTCTTTCAACTTGTGTAGCAAAAACAACTTCTTTCAACATGTAGCGGAAGTCCTACTTCTCCCACACAAAGCAATACATGTTTACTCGTCATGTATCATTAAACTCTAGATCTTCAAAATACGGAATCAATGAAAACTTGACCATAGACCCCTTGCATGTGAAGTCAAAGCAGCTCAATCTGGGGGACAAAACAATACAATCCCAATCTCCTGAGAATTGGAACCTATTGTTTTGTCCCCCAGATTGAGCTGCATTCCAAAGTGCTGCAAGGGGTCTACACTACCTTCAGTAGAAAATAGCGCCAATGTGATGGATAGAGTGTTCGCTTGGATTTAATTATTTCATCATGCGATTGATTTTTTGTATCTCAGTATTGTAGCGGCGTGTAAAACGTTATCGCGATGAGGGGCGGAGGTGAAATAGGGTAAACTTCCAAGACTGCGCATTTGAAAAAAAATATGAAAATTTGTTTTCGGAAATGAATGAATACTGCGCGCAATAAGTCATTTATAAGTGCAACCATCTTCCATCTTATCACTATGACCCTTTGCTAAACTCTTGAACACAACCAATAAGTATATATATTTTAGACAAAATTCATCGAAAAGTCGTTAAAAATGAGCGCAAAAAACACACTAGAAACCTTGTGAAAGAAGAGCAAGTAAAACTATTTTGATAGCAGAAATTGATTAATATGATCTGAAAACAAATGCGCGCATTCAAGATGAATCCTTGATATGCATCGTGCTTTTGCGCGCACTAACAGATCAAAAAGAGAGAGAGGAGTAAGATCAATTCTCATTGTCAATCATTCTATTCACAGATACGTCAGTCCTTTCCTTGCGTTCCGTTGGCTGTTCTTCTTGCTTTTGACTGCCATGCCCTTTTCATGGTATTTTGGCACGCAACGCATTGGCATGACGTGCCTTCAGTCATCTATGGTCACCCTGTGTTTATTTTCCTTGCATAGCTGGGTTGATTTTGGCTTAGAGTTATCTGCGTTTCGTAAATACGGTCTCTACACTCAAGCATATGGAATGATAACGCTGCCTGTTGCTGGTAAGTAATACTTTAGTCAACTGGGGACAGTAAACACGAGAAATGATCGCTTTGATAAGAAAGCTTCATATTTTATCGATAACTTGAAACAACCTCTGGGCTGATCAAAGTCGAGGAACGGCTAACTCACAGATAAAACCCTGAAAGAACCTCTAGGCTGATCTAAGTCATTGCACGGCTAACTCACAGATCCAACCCTGAAACAACCTCTGGGCTGATCAAAGTCAAGGAACGGCTAACTCATAGATCTAACCCTGAAAAACTCTGGAATGTTCAAAGTCAGGGTATGGTTAACTCGCGGATCGAACCCTGAGCCCTCTGAGCTGATCATAATTTAAGTTATGATACAGCTAACTCAAACATCGAATTGGAATGTTACCGGTTTTGCGGAGGGAGGAAAACCGGAGAACCCAGAGAAAAACCCTTGCATCGAGGTAGAAACCTAGCTAGCAAACTCTAACCATACACATTTGATGTAGAGTACTCTAGGAATTTCCTCTGACACACTAGGAGAGGCGAGTGCACTATCGCTACGGTTCCCTTGATTCTCCTAAACAGGTCTTCAACTGAAGCACTGCGACATAGAAAATGCTGAACTTCTTTGGCAGCTGGCGATCATGTGGTATAATAAAATTATGCCCAAAATGGTTTAAATGATTATTAATAGAACATCAAAACGAACTGAATCGAGAAGACGCACGTTGAGTTGCTCTCTATATCAGAAAATATTATGAGAACATCCCCAGGGAATCAGTCCCAAATCTCTAGTATAACGTGTGCAAATTCTAGCCGTGTACCTACTGCAAGAATTCTGTGATAGCCTTCGTTAAAGACCGAGAAAGGCAATTTGACTATTAATATTAGACATGTAACAGTTTGTTTTTGATGAAAATTCTGTTTTCTGTTCATAGTTGGATTTGCATACCAGTACATCATCTACGGGAAAGGATCAAGAGACGCAGTTGTGATGGTGATCGCTCTCAATCTTCTCTCTCATTCTATATTTGGGATCTATTTAGTGTTGTTAACAGGCACAATCATAGCTTCATTTCTCCTTGTTGAAATTTTCTTCAACAGAACTGCTATGAACTTCGCGTCAGTGTGCGCACGAGCCTTCGATGTGCATGTTACGTCGTTAGTTTACTGTGGATGGTGGCTGCTTCCAACTCTGTACTGTTTTCAGTACATCGGGGGGTTGCCATGGAAATATGATACCACAAACGCGCACAACATAAGTATTGTGATCAGAAAACTGTTATCTGGCGAGATCTACGACTTTGGACGGACGTTTCCATTCATCACGTTAGGCCTCCTCACTGGCTTGTCGTGTGTTTTTCTTGGCCATAATCCACGAGACAAAGAGGCGGCACATACTGACGTCGCGCTAGCTTCCAAAGCAAGGCAACAGACTCTATACACATGGCTAGGCATGTCTTTCTTTGTTTCTTTGATTCTGTTCCTCGGAAGAGGGACATTTGGACCCTGGTATGATCTGATTCCCTTCCACAGCGATATGGAATCCTTGCGCTACTTGAATGGTCTACATTTTTTCGGTTTGTTACTGTTCGCAGTGGGGTCCTCCTGTATCCTGATTCACGCTTGTAGATTCGTTACCAAGGTTACTGGCTACACAACGGACAAAGTTCTTGTCATTTTCATGCTTGTTTTTGCGCCCATCTACCTTAGCAGTCAGCTGGTTGTTCTCAATAACAACCTTACAGTCACTGAAATGAGTGAAGAGCTACAGCATTCTCTAATGAAGTTGAAGCAATATCCGGTCAGCGGCCGTCTCTATGGCAACAAACAATTTGGTGAGTGTTCAAAAATGAGAAAATATAAAATAGATGTTTTCTAGGTACGGAATGCGATAACGTTTTATCTCGTGAACGTACCTGATACCGTACCTATATTTGAAAGCGCCCACGAATTTATTACTGATATCGTTTGAAACCGTCCATAGCTAGCCGTCCTAGCCGCCCACTTGTAAACGATGTTAATTATTACGGTTGCAATCTATCAAAAAATATGCCATATGAATACGAATAATATAAATAGTTTTCATTGAAAAAGAAGAAGAAAAACACCGTTTACCTTAATTAGGAAGCTATTCAAACGTAAAAAATTCTTTTGAAATATTAGTTATAATGTTGTCAGTTTACAGCCCAAAGGCATTCGTTTTTGGCCCGCCTCAATACATTTTTTTATTACTACGTAGTAGTAATTAATACATATTTTAAAGAAAATATTTCGAACCACCAAAATCTACGTTAGTCAGAAAATGGCATGAAAAATCATTCAATCTTTTTTGGTACTCCAAATGGACTTCAATTATGAACGAAAGGACATCACATATCAATTCTCAAAGCAATTTACTTGTACGAACACGAATTTTTGGCAGGATTCCAGTCACTTGTTTTTGGCTGCATCTAGTGTAACAAATGCAGCCGTATAACGGAATGGATTTTTTCCAGTAGTTAACAGGCATCAAAAAAGTTGCACCCAGTTCTCTCAATTAAGACAACAACAAAAAAAAAAAAAAAAAAAAAAAAAAAAAAAAAGATAAATAAGGCGTTTATTTTTATTAAATAAATTATATCATACGAACAACCATGGGATCCCCTAAAACCACCAAATTTTATATAGAACTCACAATTAACTCAGTTGATACTTTATAGCTTTTTTTTTGTTTAATCTAAAAACTAGTAATTTGGCTTGACAAAGAACTGTTTTGAGCTACAGTAGAACGATAAATGCGTGTTTTTTAAAATATTTTTGATATCTTGCTACTTTTCAAGTAAATACCGTTTGTAGAATATCATAGACTAGATATTAAAATATTTAGCATTAAAAGTTAAAAATTATTAATTAACGATAATATACTAATGCTTAATAAATATGTGTGTATTTATTATCTGTCATTAAATGATACTGCAATATAATTTTTATATCTAACACTAAAAGTTAACTATTCTCTGTGAGGAATGTCTAGTATGTGAATAGCTAGCGTCTTCAGTTTCCCTTTGTTTTGCCGTTGTACAGCAATTTAATAAATATCTTTTTAAAACGTATTGAATAATGTATCTAAGGCTTGGTCATATATATTCTACACAATTCATTTTCCAAGATATGATAAACAATTTGAATCCAACCTTTGCTTTTAATGTGCAATTTTGGTTTTCTCAAGTACCATAATAATGTTTCCTTCATCCGAGTGTCCAAATTAATCAGACGGGGCCAGAGAAGCAACATAAATCTATCCTCCATCAACAAAGGCATGAAACAAGATGATACATAAACAAAATATGCTTCAAATCTCTAAAAAGTGAATCATAGTGTTATTTAAAACATAACAAATCATAATCTCCTGCACTTGCTGTTTGGTTGTCACACTAGACCCTTTTCCCAAACAAGCAGCTTGTTATAGTGTTGCTTCATAATTTACCCTAACGGCAGACGTATAGGAGACTAGATAAATTGGGTCTAACCATCTTGAAACAAATTGTGTAGTTATTAACTAATGAATAAGCCTGTCAGATAGATCAAATATAGAGTGTGGAAAATATCCATACTCCACCCTTGGAGGAAATTGGAAATTCTGGAAGGGAGAGAGGTCAGAAAAAGATCAAAATTACAGAGTTTGTATGGAAGAAAATTGCAAGTTATTGGGGAATCCTTTAAGAAATTTCCTCTGTGGTGGGGGTATGGACATTTTCTGGAACTACACAATGAATAAAATTATAAGCTGTTGACTTGAATTAGTGTTAATGTGATAAATATTATAAGATAAAACTTACCTACTCTTGGTATTAATCAAATTTATAAATTATTTTTTCTATCATGATTATAAATATATTTTTAAAAGGGGATTTAAGGAAAGAAACTGTTTCCCAGATTTTTTAAAGCATATAAATATTTTTTTGAAACAAATTCAAAAAAAGATGCCATGAAATCCGAAAATCTACAGTAAATATATAATACTGTAGGAAATTTGAAAATTGGAAGTAAATAGATAATAATACTGTAGCAGAGGTGTTTTTAAAGGAAATCATATATCTTATTTCCTTGAAAGCTCTTGTCAAAAACACATGCAAACTCTTACAAGATGCATATAACCATGAAAAGGGAAAATTAAATTCTTGGGAATTTATTCCATTTAAAAAGAGTTCTCCATTTTATCCTTTTTGCCACTTTCATTTTATTTCTTCATACGTCTCGCCACCGTCTGCCACCTTTGAATTGAAACAGTGGTTGAATCTTGGGAAGAAACTACAGATTTTCCCATGCACTTTCCTATAGGTTGTAGCCATACTGCCAGTCACAAAAGGCGTGTTATGACCATTTAACAGACACTTCTTGCCCCATTCCTCAATCACTCCAATGACTTTCTCCTTTCCTAGCTCCCCTTCTAGCTTTAAGTACAATGCTGAGGTAATAGTAAAAGGGATGCCCAAGATTGAAGTGTATTTTTGCGTAAAATCAATCCTCATTTCATGTTCAAAGTGGTGTTCCTCCGCTTCTATGGTTTCAGAATTCCTTACAAAAGATTTAACCAAATTGAAGCCATTTTTTAATGACTCCACTCCCTTTAGGTAAACCGCAGGATCTTCAAAAGTAACATTTTCTGATAAAATATCAAAGGTTCTGTCCGTGTATTTGAATTGGTAAAGGGAGAAAATATTCTCGACGATCTTTTTCCTTGATTCGGCGATTTCATTCACGTTGTCGGGTTCCAAGGGAGGAGAGTCAGGATCTGAACTTTTTGGTCGGCGAATTTTTTGCGGACTTAAAAGGACGTGAAAAGCAGTGTAGCTTTGGACGCCAGTGTAAAGAATACTGGCAGGGCATAACCATTCCATCTTGGTTCACGTAAAGTAAAGCTCACACATAGGTAACTTACTTGGCTTTGTTTTTCAAGTCTTTCAAAAGATTTTTCCACTCATTAATTGTATTTTCCCCTTATAGAAATAACAATACCTTCACTAATAACGCCGTTCGTGCTTACCTTTCTGTGGCTTATCTACTGTGGTTGGGGTTTTAGCGTCCTTTTTAGCGTTTTGTTTATGAATGCTTTAGAAGGACGCTGTAAACACTGTCACGTTAACAACCGCCATTTTGGATATTGAACCTCCACGCGTACCACAGGGAGCCCAATAGCATTATGAATGACAATTTTATTGCTACAATTTTTTGATTTAGAAAAATGTGATAAATCTGTCTTTGATAATTTTACTATCTACCTATAATCATTTTTATTGTCATTAAAAGCCATTAGTAAAAGTGACGTGTTACTTTTGCAGGTATTGAAGGGCCATGGGAAATGACGTTTCTGCCATATTTTACCAGAAAACCCGGTCAGTAAAACCGGTTTTTAAATAAACATTTTGAATTATTTAAAGATTTAACCAACTTTTGAAACAACAATCTTTTGGGTAGAATGTATTGCTCCTGACAGAAATAGACATTTTTGGTAAACGACAATAATTAAGGTTGCAATCAAATATCCTGTTGCTATGGTAACCACATTAAAATGAAAATTTAACATGGAGTTCTTTTATCCTCATAATATTAACAAATGTTTATTCATTAATTATAGGGATACAAACATATTCTAGAGGTTATCATGACACCTTGTCTGTGTTCTATCTGGAATCATTTCAGCCCGACCTGAATGTCACTCCTTGGTTTCCAGACCTCATGAGGCTTTTCAATATTCGATATATATTTGCCAGCAGTTCGGGAGTAAGGACAGAATTTTTACAAAAATGCAATCTCATAGAACTTATGAAACTTGACAATGACACACAGATTTTCATAAGGTCACCTGACCAGGAATATGGGTACTTTGAGTTTGTTTTTGTTCCAGGGATGGTCCAAGGGAACCTTAAAGACATAAGGGCAGTCGTTAGAAGCCTAACACAGATCTACCAGGTTAATGCAGTTCTTGCCATTAACCCAAAAATTACGTCGATCTATGCCAACGTCAATGTTTCATCAAAAGATACCCAGTTGCCATTAAAATGGTATGGCTCTCTATCTTGGCTAATAAATTCATTAAGACCTAATAAAACTCCTGTGGCAACATGGACCTTGGATGGATCTGATGTATCTGATGACATCTTCCTGGAGAGTGTGATGAAGCAGTATCTATGGCAAGCTGTCAGATCCAAGGTACTCAAGGAAATCACAAAGAATAATGAATATAGTGCTATAGTAGAGATTCCTCAAGAGGCATTCAGTAAGGTGAGGTGGCCATTTCAAATCCATCAATTTATTCTCCAACTTAAGTTTCTTTTTGTAACATTTTACAAACATGAACAAGATCCTAGGGGCAGGGTACACAGGTACACTGGACCCGTGACCTGGATGGGACAGACCCGAGTCTGTAAGATTAAAGGTGAAGCTTAAAGAAATTACCCCACAATAATACTTTCCGTGATGATTTCATTACCTTTTTCAGGATTTTTATTCTACTGAGCACCTACTCCTTAAAGTTTCTTACCACCCTTACTGGTCCTGCCGATATGCAAAACCTACGACATTAAGATATAAAGAGAATGATCATGATGATCCAAAAGAAACAGACCAGGAATATGAAAAATGGCATGAAGTTAAAGTACATCATGTGATACCAAACCTCATGAGTATTGTTCTTCCTCCTGGTAGACATGAAGTTGTTTGTTCTTATTCTAATCCATTGTACCAAAAACTAGGCTTTATTATTTTCTTAGTTACAGTCACTGTGATATTTACAAAAGAATTCTTACAAATGTATTTAAGATGATCTGGTAAGGGACCATTCATTTTTTATTGGGAGGGGTCCATTGTGGGATTCAAATCACCTTTTCAGCGCTAGCCGTCACAGGGTATAAATTGTTTTAGATTGTGTTATGGTCACCAAAAAGTTCGGACATTGTTCTCGAATTTTCGTATAAATGTACTGACTCTAAATGAACTATTTACTTAGTTAATGTTTAGTTAGTTCTCTAAATACAAGTAAGTGATCATTTTTCTAGCTTGATTGAAGCTTTTCTTACTGCTGTTAGGAGAGCTAATTAAAGAAATCTACCTAAATTTTCTATTTAAAGTCAGTGAATTTGTATGGGAATCCGAGAAAAATGTCCAAACTTTTTGGTGACCGTAACACAAACCAAGCTAGCGCCAAAAAGCAATTTGATGCAAGGAATTTGATGCCCCTCTATTGTTAACAAAAAGCTATACTTTCATCAATATCAAAAACGTGGACAAATAAAATTTTGCCAAATATTATACCTTCATCCTGCAAAAGCACTGTTTTCAAAGGGGGAAGCGAAGGAAGTGCTTGTAATCATACTCATACAGTACAATGCTATTTAAGATTCACATTGTTTCACAAATTATAATTTATGGACAACTGTTATATTTATGAGTGAGTGAACACACTTTTTAATTCATAAAATCTACAAATATTGCACGTACAAAATTATACTGAATCAAAAGATGAGTGACAAGTTGAAGATAATGAATGTCAAAAATATTTATTATAAAAAGTGTTGATTGAAAATTAATAACTTTACGAAATGAATAATGAAGAATCCAGTCACACGGTGCTTTTGTTTGCTTGGTTGAGTAATAACATGTCTCCTCTAAATGGGAATGATACCTAAATATATAGAGTCATTTTATTTAATCAGTGAAGCAAAATTGTATAATTAGTGAGTAATAGTCAAAGTAAAATAAAAGAAAACARTGAATTTGGCGTCTACTGCTATGTGTTATGCTTACTATATATACTATAACAAGGCTATATTGCTATTTTGAAATTTTTATAAAGGACCAAGAGTACAAGCGCATGGCACAAATAAGAACCCTAAATGCTTATCAATTATTCATGAATTTTTGAAGTCGTTCAATAAACTTGCAGATCATGTTTTATCAAGTCTTACCACTTGGCTACACCTCGTGGTCTTAAACCTGATAAAACACTTCTGCTCATTTATTAAACTATACCTACAGAATCTTCTGCTGAAATTGGCCAGTGAGTTTAGGCGTATGATAAAAAGGTTAAGGTCTCCATTGGGATATCTTACCAAGTGATCCTAATTCCTTACCATCCTCAGCCATGCACCCCTGAATCCATATTGAAAGTAAAAACCCTTGCTTTCTGAACGTGGAACAATTACAACACATTCATTACTGTTATAAGTGTTTTGGTTGAGCAAGCAAGAGTTTTATATCTGTTCCAGTTTAATGGTTGATGGATGTATAACCTGATTGGCAGATCATGATGGGCAGTCAACCCCAATGAACAAGCAACCCTTTGGGGAACTACACCTTTATTCTTTTGGAGGCACAAAATTTAAGATATTGAGCAATCGTCCATGTATTCGTCTGAAGAAGTGCGCAGATACCCCAGTGGAGGCAAAGGGGGTGTTCTCCGGTGTTATCAGGGTCTTGCCGTACCATTCATCGCGAAACTTCTTCACTTTCTCATCTCGTCCTTTCCCCTCAAGTTCCACATAAACAACCGATGGAAAATTCATTTTCAAATAACCCATTGTGTACTTTTGCTTCAGCTCCAAGATGAATTGGTCTTGGAAATGATGCTCTTTCATATCGAGCGTCTCTACCTTTACGTTATTCCTGAAAAAATACGCAGTGTTTTTGATCAATTCCAGCCCCTCGACGTAAAAACTGTGATCTTCAAACTGAACATCGTTAGTAAAGGTGTCAAATGTCTGTTTCGTTGCTCTGGATTGGCAAATGGCTAAAAGGTTCTCAACAAGCTTCTTTCTAGATTCGGTTGGTTCGATGGCTGGGGAGCTTGGAGCACGAATCATGGATTCGCTAGTGTACAAGTGGTACACTAAATACATCTGAACTGCTCCGTAATATAAAAACGCTGTTGGGATAACCCTCTTAAAGAAAAATCCGACGACCATCTTGATTGCTCTTTCTCGTACAAAGAAAAGAAATTCATGAAATTGTTATGTTCACATTGTTTTATAAACTTTGCCTTCTTTGCTAATGCACGTTGCATTGCATTACGCAAGGACGCTGCAAGTAATTCGACCTATCCCTCCTCAACTAATCCAATACACAGGAAGCCCATACGTGTTTCATTATGACCTTCCCATAATTTATTCCTTCAAATTTATAATATATAGATTATTTATAAATTGTCAAGATAAAAGAATGGGAGACACTGGTCTTGTTTTCGAGCGATCAAAATCGTTTCCGTAAAGAGCGTGACTGAGCTCGACCTTGAAAAAAATAAGTCACATCATATGCGTAGAACAGATGGGCACATCAATGCCTGTGAATAGTTTACCCGGAATCAAAATTCGTTATAACCCTAATTGCTCAATGTGCGGTATCAATGCCTACAAAATCGTGCAAATTGTCGCGCAACTCATCGTTGCGTTGCAATATTTGCAGAACCGATGGTGCTCGTATTACAAATAGGATTGTATGTCGCGCGCAACAATTTTGTTGTTTTGAAGAGCGTAGAGCTCGACCTGCTACTCTTTGCGAAACAAAATCCTTGCAGAAGCTATCCGCTTCACTCAGTGTTACCATCATAACAAATTAGCTTGGTTTTTATTTTTTTTGATGCAGGATTTACAATTTTTTTCAATAGCACGCGCGGAATCGTCGTGGTGACCATAAATTTTGGTGAAGTCCATCAAGGTGTTTCTTGCACGGAGACCCTTCTTATAGGAAAGGTACCTAGATAACAATCATATGCTATTCCAAGAAAATATCTGATTCACATGCAGGGAGTGATTGGTCAGTCTTCCGAGACAGAGGCGCTCGACGCCGAATTTAAAAGTTGAATTTCGCGGAAGGAAAACCTGTAGTACCCCCGCAGCAGTACTTGTCGTCGTCACGCAACGCTCCCTCCCCACTGAGCGTTGCGTGACGAGACAGAAAACCGAAGAGCCCCGCAAAAAACCCTCGAAGCAAGAGACAAGCAGCTTTATTGCACGGAGATCGAACCCGAATCGTATTGTTGAGGCGACGCATTAGCAGCGCATACCACCCTTGCTTCAAGTTAGGGTAAAATGGGGACAAAGTATGATTCTTAAAAAACAGCAATACTTAAGTTAAATCTTTTGATTAGGGTTGCCAGTAAAAGTAGCCTGTTATTGGAAAACATGTAGGCTTTGTTGACAAGCCTTGCTTACTAATCAAAGTTTTGAGATCGTTCCGGCCTTTGCAGCCCTGTGACGAATTACACCTTTATTCTTTTGGAGGCGCAAAATTAAAGACGTTGAACAATCGTCCATGTATTCGTCTGAAGAAGTGCGCAGATACCCCAGTGAAGGCAAAGGGGGTGTTCTCGGGTGTTATCAGGGTCTTGCCGTACCATTCATCGCGAAACTTTTTTACTTTCTCATCTCGACCTTTCCCCTCAAGTTCCGCGTACAAAACCGATGGAAAATTCATTTTTAAATAACCCATCGTGTACTTTTGCTTCAGCTCCAAGATGAATTGATCCTGGAAGTGATGCTCTTTCAGACTGAGGGTCTCTGCTTTTGCGTAATTTCTTGCAAAATACGCACCGTTTTTGAGCGCATCCAACCCCTCAAGATAAGCACTGTGATCTTCACACTGAACGTCATTAGTGAAGGTGTCAAAGGACTGTGGAGTAGCTCTACATTGGTAAATGGCTAACACGTTTTCAACAAGCTTCTTTCTAGATTCTGTTGGTTCGATGGCTGGGGAGCTTGGAGCACGAATCATGGATTCGCTAGTGTACAAGTGGTACACTAAATACATCTGAACTGCTCCGTAATATAAAAACACTGTTGGAATAACCCTCTTAAAGAAAAATCCAACTACCATCTTGCTTGCTCTTTCACGTAGAGAAAAAAACGATATTTTGTTAAAATTTTAACTCTTGGCAGTTTTTATCTTGATACTGCAGTTTCGTATGAAATATAGCATGATTGCTCTCAATGATGACGCTTATATTCCTAAGCCTCCTCGACTTATGTAATGCACAGGAAGCCCACGGCGAGCACATTATTTCTCTTTCTTTACGTACTTGTTTTTACCAAACGGCAACATTGAACGATCATCATTAATAACTGCGTTCAATAATGTAACTAGAATCAAAATACTACGAAATCTGGATTACTTAAGGTTCGATATTATGTGATACAAAATTGTGCAAATTGTCACGCAATGTCATAGTTGCAAGTTGCAGAAGGAATGTTGCCCGTATTACCTCCTGCACGCACTTTATTTTTTTGTCGTAGAGTAGAGAGAGTTTGTACTTTGCGTACCAAAATCTTTGGCAAGCTTTGCACTTCACTTCTTGTTACTACCAAAACAACTTACTTGTCTTGCTTTATTTTATCTGCATAGAAAAGTGTATAATTTACAGGCGTTCTCAATAGCACGTACTTAAAAAGCTTCGTCGTGACGAAGCACGTTTTGGATGACGTCAATCGAGGCGTTTTACTTGAGAAGCTCGTTATAGGCATATGCCCCTGAAAAACAAAGAAATGATACTATAGGGAATGACACGTGGTCTGGAATGTGAAAAACTTTACACCTAGGATTTGCCCAAGGAAAGGATGTCTATCAGGAAGGACTGTAAGCTGGTTTTACAACGTTTTAACCTTGTAAGGGGTTTAGGACTAGACACTTCCACCATGGCAAAATTGTTGCATCATCAGCGAACTAAGGCTTAAGATCTGAAGGTACTCATCAGCACCATCTGTCAGACACTTGTCAACCACCTGTGGAAAAGTGGGAAACGAATGAAATAATTGATTGAATGGATGGATGGATGGATGGATGGATGGATNGATGGATGGATGGATGGATGGATGGATGGATGGATGGATGGATGGATGGATGGATGGATGGATGGATGGATGGATGGATGGATGGATGATTTTCTCCATATATGTATATAGAAAATCAGAAAAAATATAAAGTAGTTAACAACTTACAGCTAATTTTTCTGTTATGGCTGATTTTTGATGGTCATTTAAGTCTGTCATCTGAATAACATCATCATGAATCTGTAGGTAAAAAAATTATTTTTAATTTCTGCTTCTAAAGTTCTGTTCAGGCATGCTTTAATATGCACACTCACCTGACTTATCAATTGAGCAGCTGCATGCCCTTCGGCAATAATTTCCTATTGAAAAAATTAACACTTCATGTTGTCAGTTTTATTCATAGTAATGCACAATTAGTTTCTTAAAAAATAATGAAGCAGATCAAAAAAAAAGATAATAATTGCCATACCTTGACAGTTGCCTCAAGTTTTTCATAAGAATCAGATCTACATGCTTCAAATAAATCGGCAATCATTTTATCTGGTATTACCTGAAATTATGATCACCATCATCATCAATACCAATATTTTCATCATCATCATTAGTACCATCATTATCATCATCATTACTGCCATCATCATCATCATTACTGCCATCATCATCATCATCGTTACTGAGATCATCATCATCGTTACTGCCATCATCATCATCATCGTTACTGTTATCATTATCATCATCATCGTTACTGTTATCATTATCATCATCATCGTTACTGCCATCATCATCATCGTTACTGCCATTATCATCATCATCATATTCATATGCAGTAGCAACATCATCACTTAATATCATCTTATTAATATCGTAATCAATATTAACTGTATCAGTGTATCATTATCATTAATATATATATATGATCATTAATACTATCATCATCATAAACATCATCAGCAATGGTTGCAAAACTATTGTGTGTTCTGGCTAAAAAATGTCATAAAATATCTTACCCCAGCAATGTCTATGATATCCTTGGCACATATTCCTGCATCTGATTTTAATCTGTGTGCACTTTGTAAGAACGTTATTGCCTGTTCAAAGGATTAGCAAGAACTCAGTCTCAGCATAATGAATGAAATGTTATGGGAAACTGTACAGGATAGTTTTGGGAAAGAACAAAAGAGCTATCAAATTCCCTTACTTTTCTCATATCTCCTTCAGATGTTTTTATTATTTCTTCTATGGCCTAGGAAAAATTGAAAAAAAAATTAAAAATCTTTATCTGTGATTTAATAAATAGCAATTGAACGCTGTCATTTCAGACTATGTGTCATTCCCTTGAGTATTATTTTTTGTATGTCTTTAAGTTTAACTATTGTGATCAATCTGTATTTTTTCTGCACATCATATTTTTTGCATTTGCTATTCAAGTCCTTTCAGTTAAACATTATTATCGTTTCTATTTTTTAAGTGTAGTGGTAAGGGCATGAAATCAACACTAATTACAAACGAGCAAAATGCTCGTGAAATTTTGTATTTAGCGAGTATATACATTTTTGGACCACATTTTTGGACCCCAGTCCCAAAATTGAAGGACTGAATAGTTTAGAACCTGCATCAAGTAAAGTTTGTTATTTGCTGCAAGCTAACGCTAGTTACTTTGAAATATTTGCTAGTAGGAACAAAACTTACTAGCAAGTCTTGGTGAGAAGAGTGACCCCCACCTGCACTAGAGGGTATGGCCAAAACTTGCATATTTATAGTTATGAAATGATGCCTGAATCTCCACACACCATTTGAGTAAGGTTAATTGAATTTTTTTACCTGATCTTCATGTTTTATTTGCTCTTTGTCACAAATGTCCTTTAATCTTGTATCTAGTATACCAGAATCTAGAGGCTTAAACCTGAACTTAGAGCATCTTGATGTCAATGGCTCAATGATCCTATAAATAGAATATCAATAATTCACATTTCAAGAAAAATTAGCTGGGTTACCTGTGCCTTGTTAGTAACACGAGTAACAAGAGGGTAGAATGGGAGAAAACCAGTGATACAATTGAGGTAAACAGTTGGGATGATTGAGTAAATGAGCTTTTAATCGCTCCTATTGAAGCTATAAAATATCATATTCTTATGAGTATTATAAAATAACTGTTAATATCTTTTTCTGATGGGTCAGTGATGCATGTTTTACATGCACACACTTTCTATTTCCAAAAAAAAAAAAGACAGTTCTAAAATGTACTTTATAAAAGGAATAAAATAGTTGTTTGCTGCACTGTGTCCAGCTATAAAGCACCTGTAAATTGGAAGAACACTCAAGAAGTGTTGAGAAGAACTCCACTTTGTATTATTCTTCACTTAACACTTGTCTAATGTTCTGCCATTTCATGTTTGCTTTATAACTGCAGACAGCAATCATACATTTTCTATTTCTTGTTTTGTATCTAAAACAAACAGTTACCTGCTGACATAGTTACAAATGAGACAAAATCTTGTATTTTTTGTTTGTTTTTCCATAGTTCGTCTCAGTGCAGCCTGGACAAAATTGAGCAGTAACGTTGTGTCAGCTACATATTTTTTCCCATTGTCAAAAATCAAAACAACAAATGAGTTTGATGTGTTCAGTGCACAGAATATTTGAATTGAGTTTGTGGATGAGCAGCCTTAAAGGTGATATTCCAGTTGTGATATAAGTATATTATTTATAGCAAACCTGAGCACTTGGAGTCATTGAATCAGCCTCATCAAGGATCACCAATTTAAATGGCGGGCAGGGTTTACCACTGTAGAAAAAAAACACCAAAAAACTTAAACCTTCTGTTTTTTAAATTATTTAGCCTAGAAACTAATAATTACAGATCACAATTTTAATTTTCTTAACCAATAAGTATTTTGACTTAAAGAAGCATAAATTGTAGATGCCAAAGAGTGTTTGTGGCTGTGGTCCATGCAGGGGAGAGGGTAGTATGTTGTCTAGGTTACATCACGTTATTACCAAAATGAATAAACTGTTTAACAAAAGCCTTAATTTTAGGTATACTGGTAATATAAAAGACAAAATTGTATAAAATGTGTAGGGTGCAAACCATATATCTGTGAAATAGTACTAAGTAATAAGTACAAAATAGCACCAAGGAAACAATTAAAAACAAAAGAAATAATGTGGAAATTTAATGCTATTAAGTTTTTGTGCTATTTCATGGATATAAGGTTTGCACCGTATCAAACCAATAAAGTTTTTTTGGATTCAAGGAAGCAGGAACTTACTCTGATCTAAATGCAGCAGCAGACAATTGAGCAAAGTTCTTCACCTTTTCCCTGACGACCTAAAAATACAGCAGCAACGAGAAGGAATATATTTGGTGTTCCTTTCTCTATAAAATAAACTTCTAATTTAGCCACTCTATATGTCACTGTTAAATTCTCTTTATAGTATGTATAGTAAATAATAAAAGGACCCTTGACAGATATATAAGGGATTGAGGAAACCTGTTACATTATGGTGTCAGAAGTGGGATGGTATGGAAGTTATGTATTGGAGTATCAAGTTTAGTTTAGTTTAGTTTCATGAGTTTGTGACAAACAATACATTACGACAGAATTAAATAACTATGACACATTAGTATGAAAAGTCAAAATAAAATGGGGTCTGACGGGAGAAAGAAACAGAACTTACCTCCAAATTGCAATCTAACCCCCTAATTTTATAAATATTAAAGCACAATAAAAAGCTATAGGAAAGAAAAAAATATATATATATATGCTACATTTGTATGTTAATTCCATCAGACTAGTAGTCAAGAACGTATTTATTTCTAGCTGCATGTCTTACCTGTATACCACGCTCATCTGAAGCATTGAGCTCTAAAACTCTTGATTTGTATAAGTCATGTCTGAAAAATAACATTCAGTCTCAAAGATTGTATCTTTTGATTAGACTAATAGCCTATCTAAATTTAAGATGTAAATTAATAATCAAGATGTAAGTAATTTGGTTCAAACATTGTAACGAATATATGAAGTTCGTCAGTGAACTTCAGAACTTCTGAACAAACTTTGGAACCCGATTGTCAAAAGTTAAGTGAAATCCACTGTAAAAACCCATGGATTATACAATAAAATTAAAATCACTGATCTTACCCATAGAGTTGTCTAGCTACAGCTAGTATGGTAGAAGTCTTTCCAGTTCCAGGGGGTCCATAGAAAAGAAGGTTCGGCAGATCAGCACCTTCAAGGGTCTTCTTCAGCACCATGACAACCTCGTCTTGATGGGCAACTTCATCCATCGATTTAGGCCGACTTAGTAAGAAAACAGAAATTCATGGGCCGTGGAAGGAGTGAGGCATAGGGGAGGAGAGGCTATACTTTTTCCCTTTACTCCTATAGTCTTTTATATTTTCTAATCTCAGCCCCTCTATTTCCCCTACTAGTCTCACTCTTAACCCCTCTCACTTTTTAGGCTGTTCAATGGCCCCTCGAATTCCCAGTTGTTTAAATAAAATCATTGTTTAAAGAACTGTAGAACAACTATAGATAAATTATCGTCCACATACTGATAGTGTGTAGCCTTAAGGAGCATTGCATTTAATAAGCTCGCTTGAAGATAAGGAAAAAGGATTGTTAAAAAAATAATTCACAATAAAATAAGCTATTTTAATGACTAGTGTTTTTGAATAAAATATTTCATAGAAGAAATTATGAATACAGTGTATTTAGGTTTCTTTAGCATTGAATTTAAGAATACACATAGAATTTCCAACTCACTATTTCTCTACCCAAGGAATGGATGTCTTCTTCGAAGAACCTTGGCCTTCAGCTTTCTTCAGCTTGGTGGAGGTAAACCCCGAAGTCTGTCCTTTGAGAAATGCCTCCATTATGCAATTATATTGTTATTGATATTCTGAGTCTTTAGGGCATAAGTTTTAAATGTAAAATGTTTAAATATTTTAGTAATTTTTAGAGTTTTCAATGCAACAACAAATGGAAGATGGAAGAAACCCTCTTTCCCGCCAAATGATGCGCATGGGAATCTGGGCTCTAGTACAATTTTCACGCAGTGGGGAGGGGATAGTCGAATGCTCAACTTATTGTTTTTCTCTAGTAGCTCTCGCACCTTGGCTTTTTATACGACCACGATTTTTTTTCCTTTAGCTTAGTAGTCAAACGCAAATTTTTTGAAGTTCTATTCCTAAGTCGCTTTTTTAGACAACAGTTAACTATATGATATATAAATTTGACAGGTAAAAAAGTTTAAAAATCTAAGATAGTTAACTTATAATCAGTTATTTTTTAAAATGCTAGAATAAATGGTATCTGTTTGCGCATAGACTATATAAATAAGTGTTCATCTATTTTATTCATTCAAAATATTCGTAATAGGAATTTGTCATGAAAGATGAATAGCGTGACAGAGTGACTGTGTGACCAAGAACGCCCGCCCACACCACAAATTGGTTTCCATCATGTACCATTGTACAAACTTTAATGTACTTTACAGCTAAAATAACTTAACCTTAGCTACTATACTATGACCCATGGGCTGGCAGCAGTTTATAGATGAGAGTTTGCTAGGAACAAGTCAAGTTTCTAAAGCAGCGATACATGGATTAGACGGCAAGCGATACGCATCGAGTGCAGATTTCGTGGTGAGTATAAACTTTCGTCCAAAGTAAACAAACTTTGTCTCCCCAAAACTTCTTTTATCGCTTTTAGATTGCCAGGAACTTCCTCTTCCTAGTATTAAGGAGTTTTATTTCGATCACTGGGGTAAATTTAAGTTTTGTGTCTTTTAATTATTGTGTGTAATATTGGCTTATTGTTTTCGGTGTTAAATTTATTGACTTAATAAAAAAGCCAACATGATGCCAAAGTCCCCAATTGGGGTTTTCGAATAATTTACCAACAGTAACAGTGCCTATAACACTTCAGTTGATGAAGAAAAACCTTTTATAGCTCTTTGTGATGAATTATTTGAATGAATTCATTCTTGAAAGGTGAAAAAGGACTCTGGAAAGTTCGCAAGAAGAATGAATATTTTGCATAAATTAAGAGATTTGCGTCATGGCGTCATAACAACCTCTTTTAGATTATTGTGTTGTTCACTAAAAGCCAATAGGAAATATATAATAGAAGTTGTTTTTGTACTGTACATCTACTCTCAGTTGATAATATGCTAAAAGATATGAAGACGGATTAGGTAACAATATCACTTTCAATATTTCTTACAAGTTTCTTGTATAAAGTTGAACCTGGATGGACACACTCATCATTAATATTAGAAGGCTTTTTTTCTGGGCTGATCTAAGTCAGGGCAGATAGAACCTAACAACATTTTTTTTAACTTATAAAAAAATCTGAATAAATCCCCTCTGTTTTGTGTAAAGCAGCTGCTGAGAGATGTAAAACCAACATTTAAAAAAATTTGAGTAGTCTGAGGAATCTTTGCTATAATTTCAGGTCCTACCAAGTGAGGCGCAAGCAATCATTTCTGCCATCACTAAAGACCCTACTCCTTTGTATTCCAAGGGTGTAACGTTAAACAATTCAAAATATATGTTCATCAGAGTAGAACCAGGAAGGGCAATTAATTGTTGTCGGGGTAAAGAAGGTGCCGTTGCAATTAAAACAAACAAGTGTCTTCTGATTGGAGGATATACAGAGGGTATGCAAGCTGGATCCTGTTGGGCAGTGCTGGAGAAACTTGCTGAATATTTCAGAGCGAATGGATATTAAATTACACTGGTCTTCAAATTTCCCATGCTCTCTCTTCTTGAAGTATTGCCATGTTGAACTTTCAGGAGGAATATAATTATTGCCAAGTTTCAATCTACAATTTTGTATGCTATGCTCAAAATTCATGCTTGACTGACCATGTGAAATATATTTGGATGAATTGTACATAACGTTAACCAATGAAATAACCAATGAAAAGCTGGCCATACTTGACCAATAAAATGCAAGTAAATAAAGAAAGTCTTAGTTCTTTTTTTTTTGCCACCATTGGCTGGCAATCAAGGACAGATGTCTCTAACATCTGGGGGTGGGGTTAATTGAGTGGCTAGCCAACCCTCTTTGGAGCTGAAAAAATAGTAAATGATAAAGTGAAAACTAAAGAGGGTGCTATGTAATGCCTTCCTAGGTAATAGTCACCTCTAGCTAGTTGAAATCAGTCTGGTCTAGGCAGTTCATGCATGGCCTCAAAGCAATGTTCTAATAAATTTAAAATAAGAATATTGGTTGACAACTGTGAATTTTGATAGTGTAGTTCCATGAATCATACCATGAGAAGTGATACCCTTGGATAAAGGAAAACCTCAGCTTGCAGGCCTGGGAAATACCTGGAAATACCTTCAAGACAAAAGGGGATGAAACTACCTAAGGAGGGGAAAGGTTAGAATTTGAGTTATGGTAGTATGAAGTGTGATTTATTGTAGCTTCTTCTGCCTATTCACAAGTTTTATACAAGAACTTTGAAAAAAGAATTTAGTCATCTAGTGAAAATTCAATCCTTTTATTTTCAAAAGATTTAAGTGAAGCTTGTAATTCTTCTTTAATTCTTTCTCTTCCATTTGACCGATAGTTTATTTTAAGCTAATCATGCAGATAATATTTGGCTGTGTAATGACGTTTTGTCAAAGGAATAACATGTTAGATGACAGCGCTAAAATTATGACTTTTACCAAGGGCTTTGAGAATGAATATTGTTGAAAATGATCCTACTTTTTTGTTTAGTTATTTTGTCAAACTCTAAACTAACCTCTGGGCTGACATAACCCACAGATCAAATCCTATAACCTTGTACTTTTGATTTATAACAGGGAAAAACATTCCAAGCCAAAATATCAAAGATTGCCAATGAAATGTTGAGATTAACATTGATAGAATACCATTTTTTAGACAATATTTCTTGCAACTCACAAAGAAAGATTTGATTTTTTCCCAGCTTGTGTGTAGAGTGTAATGTGCAATGGTATTTATGATCATGCATCACAAAAACTACAGTGGAGGCCTGATCCTGCTACAGTATCTCCCTGGATATCTCAAACTTTTAATTGCCTTGATTAAAGTCAAAGCCACATCCTAAGGACTTTAATACCTGGATATCTTGAAACCTTGTTATTTCTTTTCTCTAGACCCCGGGAAGTTGGAGATAATAGACCATTTAAGCTTCATATGCAAACTGCCAATTTCAGATCATGAGTCATTCCCTTGAGAATTGTTCTTTTATAACAAACATGTTAAAATATTTAGACATGAAAGAATCAACTCCCAAGAGTGACATCACATGGTCTGAAATGTGCACAACAAACAATGAAGCTAAAAGAGTCTATGGACTCCACTGTATTTAACAATCAGCACAAAGTCTTGTTTCATTTTCATGAGGTGCTGAGAAAGGATCTTGAAAACAATGTGCATTCCTTTTGTAACTTGCTGCAAGTTGCAGCTCAAGATACCACTGCCTTACATTATAAGGCTTTACAATTCCCTTTCAYGATCCTGATTCCCTTTATACATGCTAGATATATAATTTATTATACTCTAGCATGCCACCTTAGAAGTGCAAGGGATGAGAACAAGGGGAAAGAGGCAATTAAGGCCTATTCCTTCTAGCTCCCAATTTCAATGCACTGTAATGAAGGTTTGAACATGCCACATTTATAGTATACAGAGCCTACAAACCACTTGAAGCATTTTCCCAGTTCAATTTGGAGGAAAAGCAATAGAATTTTAACCTCATGAGAATAGAAATAATTTATTGCATTGTCTTCCAAATTAAGCTACCTTGGGAAATACTTTAAGTGTTTTATATTTTAGAAGCTTCAATCTCCATTCATTTTAGGGGATCAACCTTTGTTCAAGCTTTGTCTAATTTTAAAGTAGTTTGTGGTAATCATTGTCCAATTTTGCAGTAGTTTGCGGTAATTCTGTGTGTGGTTACCAGTGTTTATGTAATAATAATTATCAATAATCTTGAATAGGATTGCAGTGGAAATTAAGGCAATGATATAACAATACATAAATGGGGCTACTAAATCAAAAGTTGAGTGCCTTGTATTGGTCTGCGGTTATGCTGGATGGAGTTCTTTAATTTGTTTAATGAGATATGTCTTTTCGTCATTGAATTGTTCATCCTCTGCAAAAGAACAGATGAAGATAAAATTATAGGTATTTTCTGAAACCATCCATTAATAATCATCATCATCATCATAATAAAATGATCATTTGGTGTATTTGATGGAATTTCCTTTCTCACCTGTTCTATCCGTATGGAAGTTAGTCAAGAATTCCACCAGTTTGTCTTTGTTCTTTAGTAAAATATCAAGAATAGCTGGTGACTTATTGGGATTTGCTACAAACACCTGGGGAGAAAATGACAGATATTTGAAATAGAAGATTATTCATAATAACTATTCTTAATAGCTATTTTGATCAAAGGTCAGTAAGGTGTTGGTAAGTGGACAGTAAGGTGGTCAGGGATTTAGCTTGTTAAACTTTGTTATACTACAAAGGAAAACAAGAGAACCCAGAGAAAAACTTTTGAATCAAGGGAGAACCTAACAAACTCTCCGCACATGAGATGCCGAGACCAGGAATTGAACCCGAGACCCCAGAAGTACGAGGCGAGTCCACTACTGCTACACCACCCTTGATAATAACAACGAACAACTCCCACATGTTTTTCTAGAGAGACTGCCAGCTGAGGGAGAACTATACCATTTTTTTCTTCTTTACCTTGAATACATGGAAAGCCTCGAACTGGATGTTCCTGCTCTTGTCCCGTAGCATGTTCATCATGAGTTTGAGGTTCTCAGGGTTGCTGATGTATTGTGTCATCACTGTGAAGTTATGTCTGTCCAGCAGAAGCTCTCCAAGCAACTGAGAAAGTAATAATACTTACAATCTTACCTGTAATCTGCTATTTATTTACTTATTTAGCTATGTGTTATTTTATGTGGCTGGGGAAATTGTATGTTACAAAATTTTCTCTGCTGTGATTATGAAGGTGTTTACTGTGACAAGCATGTTATAAACAAAGCATGTTCTTGGGAAAAAAGGAGATGGGTCGTTGGAAGAATATCATTCAATGATGATAGGGTGTCAACAGCACGTTGGTAAGGTATCAGTAGAATGATGGTGTGCGAGTAGTTTGGTGGTTATGTTCAGTGGGTTGTTGGCAGGGTGTCAGTGGGTTGTTGGTAGGGTGTCAGTGGGTTGTTGGTAGGGTGTCAGTGGGTTGTTG